GATTAGGCTCACAGGAAATTTATCGCCAGAGAGCATTCATGCAATTCAGATGAGATTGCCGCGATACAATAACTAGTATTGTATCCGTTCGTATATCGTATCTTACAGCTCAGCAATTAACGTTGACTATTATAAGGTTATGCTTGCTTTTCTGAGCCGTTGATCTGCGACTATCATGTGCAGGCGTGAAAGCATTGTACGAGCGCACGTTGTTTTAACCTAACTCACTAGACAATGATTAAAGAATTAACGCGTCGCCTGGCTTCGTCTTCTTCCTCTCCCGTCGTCCTTTCTTTGCGTAGGACCTGGTACCTCCGCATCCAAAGGAGTGTCCCCATCGTAGTCGTGTCGCTGGCTTCTATACTCTACCTGAAAACGCTTTCTCCTTCTCCTATTTCCGTCTTCTATCTCCCCGGACCTAAAATGCTTTCTTCTTTACGCTTTTCCTAACCTGAAAAATAATCACTCTTGGTGGCTGCTTCGCGGCGCCTTATATACCTACTCGGCAACGCCCCCCTCGTGCCGTCTGTTAAAGTATGCGCGTCAAACACCTACCCCCACGCAGATTCCGTGCTGGTTACGAAATTGTCTGCCCCTGCTGACGCAACTCGTTTGCGTAAGTCTAATATTCCCTCTTCGACAACTGATAGACTATTCATTCTTTTTATTCAAATCTCCTCGTATATTCAGGCTGATTAATTATGTACATAAAAACGCGTTGATTATGAATTATTCTATATAGTCAGGCGTTTTCGGTTTAGTCATTCCTTGTTTTCCCTAGACCCGCTTTCGTATGTATGATCAAAGCATGGCTGGCGCCCCAGGCTGTTGATCGTTGATTGCATGCTGGTCTATATGTTTATCTTTCTAGTGCTATTAGACAATATTAATTTGTGTGGATTATTCCTAATCGTATATCTGCGAGTGTCAAACTACCCATCGCTGATCTAGTCTAACTGCTCAATGTGAGTTACACATTTCACACCACCCCCCCCACCGAACATCTCTACATTTAGGGTTAGCGTGAGGTTTGAAGATTAAGTGATAGGTTTACCCAGCCGCTGCGCACAACGTGGCGACTTTTTATCGACAGTACCGTCAGTTTTTATCTGCCGTACTGTCGATAAAAATCGCCACGTGTGCGCCCACCCGCGACAAATTCCAACGCTATCGAAACGACATGACCACTGGTAATTGAACTGTACGGTGACCCTGTTCAAACTCACACCCGACGGCGCCTGCCAATATTTGATCTAACGTGCTTCAAACTCATGCCTTGATTGGTTATATCCAAAACTGTTTGCCGGGATCCATCGCGCAGTTGCGGAGCGCACACGTAGCGATTGCAGGCGCTGGGCTAAACAAACATATGCAAACATGTCTTGATATTCCAGCGACGAGTTTTCTGAGGCGTCAAAATGCGGTGACGGCCGGGCAGCGCACGACTGGCGATTTCTCGCGCTTTTGTCCGCCGGCATACGAGAATCGCTCGGTACTAGGGGGGGGCGGATAATAATCGCACGTGTGCGCCGGCTTTAAGCTAGGTTTAGGGTTAGGGTAGCCGACCCAAGCC